CCTTTGTTTGTTTTGACTGTTGCTTTTTGATCGGCTGTTTTATTGAGCTAATGCAACCATTACAAGCATAGCTCAATCATTATTGCTGGCACAATGTTTTGCTTACCTGTGTCTAAACAAATACCCATTATCCATTCGGTGGCCAGTATAGCAGAATTTGCGCAATGCTTTTTGCCCGTTTCGCCACTCCTGCTACGTAATTAACGCATATGTAGAGAGGAGAGTTCGTTCAAGTAGTTGGCGGGCTAAACAATAAATCAAAATATTAAAAAAAAAAAATCAAATCAAATGGATTTTTCCACTAGCGTTTTAAATACATGCACTCATCATACATTTTGCACTTGTCGAATACGTTTTTTTTTTTTTTTAAGTGATTTGTTTTTTTTTTTATTTTCTAATATTTGTTGTTGGCTTTCCTTTTTCTTCTGTGATTTGTCTAATATATTTATTGCTATTAGTTGTTGTGTACGGGCTTCCGCTTTTTGGTATCTCTGGGCGACACGTTAGCATTTATCGTTGGCAACACGCACAGTGAAAATTATTTATTTGTTTTTCGCTACATATTGCCGGTTCTAGCTGAGTTTTTGGTGGCCCCGTTACCATAGCCCCTGCACTTTATAAAGCGTGTGTGTCTCTCTGATTTTGGTGTTTGGTGGAATTGCGGTACTACGGAACGGTGGTTGGTTGGTCGGTTGGTAACTTATGCAGGTTCTGCTGCCCGAACGTCCGAAACAAGACTGAATTTGAAATATGAGAATTGCCTCGGTTTTTACCAACCGCAATCCTCGGCAATTGGTCAGCCAAAGGCAGGGCGCGCGCGTTTCCAATTAATGAATACTTTATGAATTCCAGTCGTCCACATGATTCACAAACGTTAACTGGTGTGTATGTGTCAGTGTGTGTGTGGGTGTGTGGGCAGATACGAACCGGCTGCACAGCCCTGGAAAGTTGTTGCTCGAAAGCCAAACAACGTGTGTGCCCATACCGTTTGTTTATGCAATCCAAACAATATCCTGCCCAGCCTGCGCTCGTTCTCACTAATCTTTCAAGCACTTGCTCTATCTCTTTCTGTCTCTCTTTCTCTCTTTCGCTCTTTCTCTTTGCTCTTTTGTTTATGGTGTCATATTGTTGCGTTGCTGCCATCTGGCCGACATCCTTGATTGTTGTTGTCTTATTCGGTGTAAATAAATCCTCAGACTTGCAGGTGTTCAACGACTCACGACACCTCAGATCACACGAGTGGAACTAGAATGTTTCATATAACTATTGCACATGGTTGTGAAACTTTTATACTTGTAATATGAGATAATTATTGCAATTTGTTGCCATTGATATTCTCTGCTAAAAAAAAAGTACTTTACAAAACTGCTTAAAGATAGTGTTAAGTGTTGTAAAATGTAGAAAAAAAAAAACTGATGATGTTTAACATTTTGACAAGAAAATTTCGATAGCACAGAAATTGCAAAAAAAAACAACACTTAAGGTGTAATTCTTTGAGCAGAAATATGCGTACATGTGTATGTACATAGATGATAGTTTTATTTTATATTTTCAGTATAGAGATGTGTCTTAGTTTAAATGTTTAAAAATTCTTTATTTCAAATAAATTGCTTTTTTAATAATGTGTAATAATTTTAAAAATATGTCCCATCTATGTGCTACTGTTTTAATCTAATTTAAATTGGTTTATAATTATAGATCCAAAAAAAAWATATTAGCATTGAATTTTTAATACCAAATTTTTGTTTAATAAGTAATAGAATTTCCGAAAAAAAAATTTATTTGTGAAGATAAAGTATAATAATGAATAAATATATTCAATTAAATAATATTTCATTCCCTTCTTTTTAAACCTCTTGAAATGTCCTGGACTGTGCTCCAAATATTACTCATGTCAAATGTTCAAGTATTCTTGATTAGTTTTGAATGGGCTGAATGCGTTTTTTGATATCTGGAAAATTGCACAATCATGACGGAACCACAAATCTAAATTGCTAAATCAAGTCCGGACGCCAATGGGCTGTGCGAATGGATGGATGGGCTTGCAAAGACAAATAGTCAATTAATATTTTACACTATTGATTGCATTTAATTATATTGTTGGTTTAAGGTGAAAACGAAATATGGAATCGTTGAACTGACATTGACAGTTGACAGCTGTCGAAATTTCCAAAGTATATTCAATTAAACTGCTATTGATTTTGTTTGTGCTAATGATAAGAGTGTGAGCTAGACGGGGAAAGAGCGAAAGAGAGCGAAGAAAAGAGAGTGTGAGAGAGAGATAGAGAGAGAGAGAGAGAACAAAGCGCGGGTCAATAGGCAGGACAAGGACATGAAAAGAAGTTCAAAGCTCAAGGAAATTTCATATCGATCAAAATGCTCACATATCGATCCAAAGTCCCAAACAGATGCGACGCCTAATTTGTGTCTAACCTGGAACTTGTGACATGCCGTGTGGCACCGCCGCGGCGGTCAGTCGGCTCGTCGACCCGTCGGCAAGGACAATAGTTATAAATGAGAATGGTACACACCCACCCACACGCAGGAAAATCAGGTCTGGTTTCTCTGGTTTCTATAGTCTGCGCACACTGCAATTGTTAAACAGGGTATATTAGTGACTCTAACGATTAGATCTATAAATATATCAAAAATCCTTCCAATGTCTGGATCTCGACAACTAAAAGGATTTCGAACTATGAATTTTGAGTTAGCTATCCTTGTATAACTTAGGCAGAAGAAGTTAAAATGTTTTTCCAGAATTTCAAGTCATTTGGAAACTACACTTGGTTTTTAAAGCATAGACTAAAAAGAGTTAAATATAGGTAAATATTTTTTGATGATTTATAAACATGTATAGCCTAGGAATCAGTATTTTGTAAAATTATATTAACATTTAATGATTTCTGGCCAGCTGATAATCCCACTGTTTAGGGTATTTCCAAGTCGTGCAGTCTTGTCAATATGCTCATTTCGTTTTTTATTGTTTTTGATTAGTTGGTCCTCAACATGTGTGGAATATGCGGCGATACACGAACTAGGGCAGTGTCATCGCCGGCGCTAGGTGCCCCAAGGAGCAGCACGTGTGTGTTTCTCGCCCTTGAGGTTCGGCTTGGGCGTTCGGTTATTAAATGCTTTTGGAAACTTAATTAACGTTATAGCGGGCATAAAGAATTGTTATAACAACAACGGCAACAACAAATTAGAGCTGAATATTGGCGTCTAGCTGGGCCAATTGATTCCCCAATTACATTTCAAGTCAAGGGGTGTGAACAGGGAACGGGCAGCTGTGATTAAGGACACTGTCTATGGATGTGTATATGTGTTGAAAAGGTCACTTAAAAGGTACTCAAAAAGTTAAATTATTCCAACAAGCCTCCTTTTCTCCTTTTTTTTATTTATTTTGATTTTTAAAAAATTTTTCTTTTTGTCTAAGTAATTTGACAAGTTATGTTATTGCATATCAATTGTATTTGCTTCAATTGAATATGATCAAATTATTATATTTTGTATTACTGAAAAGTTTCGCTACAACATAATTGAAGTATGAGAATGAAACACTGAGATAAATTCTTCAATATTTAATTTTATGGAATCTCTTTATACTTTTTTGACTCGAGATATTGACTGCAGTAATATAACACTGTAATGCCTAATCAAATTTGAGTGTATAGTGAGTATTACAGTTAATTTACCAATTTTAAAATAGTTTTGAAAGTAAAGTTTTTCTCAATCCTGCTTTACGAAATTTTGATTATAGAAAAAAGAATCTTTAATATATTCTAATTTGAATAATATGTACTAATATATGAATTTTTGTATAGGAAATTAATAAT